CTTTGGTACTTGGCACTGGGCTCTGCATGTGTTTTGGGAGCAATCGATTTATGTGTTAGAAGCTTTCTTCCCAAGTTGGTGATATCAGGGGTTCTGTAGGGATCTTTAAAGAATGTGGTCTAGTGAGTGATATTGGGGTCACTTGAGAATCTACCCTTGGAAGGGATTGAGGTCTTTCTCCTGTGGCCATCAGTTTTTAAGAAGGGCCTTCATGAAGAGCAAGGTTGGCTGCACCCAGCTCCAAGATTCCTGTTTCAAGACGTGGTCCCTGCCTCTGGCCCACTCTCCTGCCATCTGCCTGAAATCTTCAACAGAACTGCATGGAAGCTGCAGCCATGTCCTTAAATCTCAAGATTTGTGAGATACATCTACCTGTTCCCTTTATAAAATTAGCCCGTCATATAAAGTGGACCTCATACATCTTACTCTCCTGAGGTCAGCATTGAGGAAAGCGTACGAACTACTTCAAATGCACACACATTGTGGTGGGTATTTCCTCAGTTTTTTAAGTTGACCAAGATGAAGTAATACAGAGCTAGGAGAAGAGCGGACACTGCAGGTGTGGCCCTGAGGTTACCAGCACTGTCTAAGTCTTCAGGGTGCCTCTAGTGGTCCATGGAAGCTTCAGCGCACGTGCGCACGTGCGCGCGCGCACACACACACACACACCCGCTTCAGCTCTGAACCCATTTGTATCCTTGAAACTCAGAAATGCATAGGATATCAGAAGAAAAGGGGAGCTTTCTCCCTCCCAGGGCATCTGGAAGGGTGTTATCCCATTCAAGGTGGAGATGAGGGCCAAAGAAGGTCCTTTCTGTTATGCTGGTCTTTTCTCACACTTGGACTTTGCTTCACTAAAAAGGAGGTCTACCGTTAACCAGGTTTGCCATGGTATTGAAGGGAGGAGAGGGTATCTGTTAATTACGCCCATCTACCATTCTCACGGGGCCAGCAGGAAGCCACAGCATGTCTTTCATTGCATAATCATAATGTTGAGGGGCTGTTTTATTTCTATCCCGTTTTTAGCAAGAGAACATCACGAGCCTGTACCAGTGGATAAATCATTTCATTCTAGGCTTACTGTATGATTTATGTGAAGTAAGTGTCCAGAACTATAAATAAAACACAAGGATCTCATCCCGCATAACTCCATGAGGAGAGTAATCGTTAATCAAGATGAGTCATCTACAAGCATCGCTGTTTTTCCACGTGTGAACAGTTCCCTCTGTCCTTGAAAGTGAATGTGACGTGACTTCTACCGATCCCCACAGCCGGCCTCTGTCCCGTGACTAACTTCTCCTTAAAGTGCATCACTTCTAATCAGCGCAACTAGCAAGTAAACTCTTTCCCTCACACAAATATTTGAAAAGCCGAAGAGTGGTATAGTTTAGATCTCAAATTGCCCTGCAACTCTTAGCTGGGCATGGTGGCACACACCTATGATAAACTCAAAGCCTTCATATATAAGTGTGTGCAACTTGAAGATGTATGTACTCACAAGTGAAATAAACCAGACCTACATGTGTAAATATCATATAGTGTCCCTAGTGTCATCCCAGCACTCCGGGAGACTGAGGCACGAGAATTGTTGTGAGTTCCAGACCAGACCGGGCTACAAAGTGAGCTCACAGCCCGCCTGAACTGTGTAGAGAGACACTGTCTTAGAAAAAAGGAAAAAAAAAGTCTTATGTATTCCTTGGCAGGGCTTTCTGAAGATGATGGGATCATAATGGCTCTTAATTCATAAATGGATTAATCTATTGATCCATTTGGGACTTCACAAGCCAGAAGTGGGACTGAGGCAGAGGAATTGAGTCATAGAGACATACGTTGGTGTCAACTTTATCTTGTTCTTGGATCCTTCCTGCATAACTCTCTCCATTTCCTGGCCTCTGTGAGGTGGTCCACTTTACTCCACGGGACCTTTCTGCTTCATTACAGGCTTAGAATCAGTGGAGCCTGACAAACTTGGAAAGAAACTCATTTAAATTATGGGATGAAACAAACATTTCTTCCTCTAAGCTGTTTGTAGAAAGTAACTCATGGGCCAGATAGATAGCTTGGTGGCATAAGTACCTGCCTGGCAAGGGCATGGTCCTGATTTGATCCCCAGTACCAGAGAGAGAGTGAGGGAAAGAGGGAGAGAGGGGGAGAGAGACACAGACAGAAAGACAGGCAGACACATAGAGACAGAGACAGAGACAGAGACAGAGAGAAGGGGAGGGGAAGGGAGGAGGTGAGGACAGAAGAGGAGAGGACAGGAGAGGAGAGGATAAGAGAGGAGAGGAAAGAAAGGAGAGTGACTCAGTGTGAACTAACATTCACTGTTAATCACTATATGAAGCTTAAGAATCTCACAATGAAGGTACCAAGTCAACTAAAATAAGAAATTCCCCACTTGTCATCACAGAGCTTCTCACATTTACCATTTTGTTTTTTAAAATGATGGAATATTTTATGTTTCATTCATCTAATGCTTTGTTATTCACATATTCCATAATGATGCCGGTTTGTTTGTTTTGTTTTTATGTATTTCATATGGGGTCTGCAGGGTCTCCTTACACAGATAGGACTTGGAATTGTCCTCCTGCTTTCAGCCTCCCAAGCACTGCAATCACAGGCATGTGCCACTGTGCTCAGTCTCAATTGCTGCGCCCTGGGGGCGGGGCCGGCAAGGCATACCGGGGGATTGAAGATGCCCTGGTTTTTACAGAAAAGCAAAGCTCATTCTTCTCAGACTAACTGACCTTCAGAGACTACAGGTGGAGCAACTTGGATTGGATGATTGGGTAAACCAAGCTCACTGGATGTCCTAAGAAAAGATGCTACTCCTAGGCCTCAGAGGAAAGTAGTTGACAGCTCTTTCTTGGTTTCAAGCATTTGATCTCTCAGGGAAACTTATATTTATCTGTGATGGGATTATACTCAATAGCGCTTAGGTTTTGCTCTTTTTCTGCTTGAAAGAATGGGCAGTAGAGTGTTGAGGCACCTTTGGCTATCATGGCTAAGTGAAGACGCACTACTGACCCCTAGTGGATGGAGGCCAGCGATGTTCAGCTTCCTAGCATGCACAGGACAATGGCTCTTAGAGCTGGCCATCCATCCCAAATGCCAAAAGTGCAGGAGTTGAGCTCTGTTGCTTCCATGGAGTCCAGAGCCTGAGAGGTAACTCATTACCCTCGCTGTCTAATTGGTATGTATGTACTCTTTCACAGGCTCAAGTAAACAATTTCAGTGAATATTTATTTACTCACAGGGCCGTGGGAGAGAGGAACAGAAGGAAATTCCCTATGGCCTCAGCGTAGAGGGCTTATACATATTTAATGCGGAAGCACACGTAAAACAAAACTTCAGCTTCAGAAACAGCGTGGAGGCCGGCCAAATAGCTCAGCGGAATAAAGCACCTGCAAGCAGGCGCAGGGGCCGGGAGTTTGATCCCCGGGCCTGCTGTGTCGGCCCCGTCCCTGGGGCGTGCTGAGATGGCAATTGAGACTGGGCGTGGTGGCGCGTGCCTGTAATCCCAGCTCTTGGGAGGCTGTGAACAGGAGAATCACTACAAGTCCATTCTATTAATGAGACCCTGAACACCCTGTAGACACTTCTCTAAGATAGATAGATAGATAGATAGATAGATAGATAGATAGATAGATAGATAGATTAGATAGGAAAAGAAAAGAAACGGAATGGACAGAAAGTGCCAAGAAGGAAGGGATGAATACGTTCGAAGTGGTGGAAAAGATTTTGAAAAGGTTTCATGGAAGTGTATCTTTTACTGTAATAACTTAAGAAAAATGTTTCAGCACACCCCTTATGTTTTCAGCAGCCCTTGTATGCATAAATTCCAAATGATCTTGTGGCTGGCAGCAGCCTTTGACATTGCGTTCTCCTGCGGCACCAGGGCATGCGCAGAGAAGACCACCAGGCAGGGGCTGTGGGGTGCGCTCCTCCGTGGGCTGCCTATCCCCCCGCCCCGGGTGAGACTTCTCTTTGCTCTCTCTGTTCCCGATGTCACTGGTTTTGCAAAGGTCCTCTCTGGCTTCCCCAGTGCCCACCTGTTGGAGGGAGAGTGAGACGGGTGCTTGAATCTCTCCGGTGGGCAATGAAGCCCACCTACTTGGGGCGACGAGGAGGGCAGGCAGGCGCTCTGGGGTCTCCGTGGCTGCTCTGTTGCGCAAGCTCTCCTTCCTTCGTCAATATTTGTTAGCAACATGTGTGGCGCTCAGGCCACCGTCCTCCCTGCAAATTCCTCCTGCCTATATCCCGACACGGAATGAAATGCCACCGGGTGTGTGTAGTGGCAGTGAATGTAGCCAATGGCTGATTCTCTGTCTCTCTGTCTGTCTGTCTCTCTGTTTTTTGTTTTTTGTTTTGTTTTGTTTTGTTTTTTCCCGGTTCTGGTGATTGAACTTAGGGCCCTGCGCTTACTCTACTGAGCTATCTCCCTGGGCCCGGCCGATTCTCTTTCCTAGGCACACCGGGCAACTCTCAGAGCTGCCCGAGGCTGGTAAGCCATACACGTTCAGTTTTAAAGGCTGTCCACGTTTCCCTTTTTCAAACTTTCCCAACCCAGTGTCACACTTCATTTCAGAAAGAGTGTGACATTGCAAATTTGCTCTGAACAAAGGACCTGTCTTTCCAGGGTTCAAAGAGCAAACTTTTAGCTCAGGATGGAGCCGGCTTTCAACAAAGGGCGGATGGGAAGCGCCAGTGTTTTCATTTTTCTAAACAGAGCCTCTGTTTTGGTACAGGTCGGAAGAGAGAGGTCGCGGCTAAGCACTGGGAGAGAACCGTGTGTTTTGGAAACAGATGTGTAGGAAGTGGGTGATAATGGCTCCTTTGCTTCACTGTTTCTCAGACCTAAGTGTCTTTCAAGCACCTTCTGTCTGGATCAGGGGGAGGAAGAGTGAATTCTTCCAAAGTTGTGCGAGACAGAGAGGCTCTCAGAGCAGGAGGGCAGCAACTAGCACCTTCAGCTGCCTTTGTCCCCTTGCCCTGTGCAGGAAGATGAAGGTCGGCGTCTTCCTGTTGGCGCTGCTGTGGGAAGCTCGGAGCCAGCCAGCCCGAAGGCCCAACATCGTCCTGCTGATGGCCGATGACCTTGGTGTGGGAGATCCAGGGTGCTATGGGAACAAGACTCTCAGGTATGTGAATACAGCTGCTGGATGAACACGTGGCTGTGGGTCCCAACGGGGTCTCTGCGGGTGACTAATGCTGGGCACCCCAAGGAAGCGTTGGAAATCCTCCATAGAAGAGAGGTATTCTGGGTGAGTTTTGTTTTCACCTGCAATAACAAAGCAGGACGTGAACATAGCTGGGTAAGGAGCTTCGTTATACAAAAAATGGGATGCAGACTAAATTAAAAGGGAAACACAGGGCAGACCGATTGCCAGTGCTGTGGGGGTCGGAGACCGGTGTCCTTCCAGGGAGCTGCTGAGTCTTTGCTGGCTCTTCCCCGGGGATATGTGGGAATGAGGCAGAGAGAAAAGTACTGGCTTTCCTGGGCATGTGATTGAGAGAAGACAAATTATCTGAGCCGTTGGGGACCCTGAGGTCATGGGAAGGGAGCTGTGGTCGAGTGTGAGGCTTAGTCATGCTTCGCCCTCCCAGCCTGCTGTAATCCATGGGTAGTGTCCTGGTGTGGGGTTTTCCCAACGGCACGATGCAATTCAGGATGCGTAGATTATTTTATAGTCACCCAAAGAATCATATACAAAGAGTGCGGGAAATCTATCCACACCCTAAAGAGCAAAGAGTTCAGCTGAGTGCCTGGAGCCTAAAGGCTTGCCTGAGTCCAGCTGAAGACCTGGACCTCATCACAGTGCCCCCCACGGGTCCAGCTGGAGGTCCAGGGCCTACGACAGGGTCTCATATGGGCCCGCTTCACGGATCTGTGCTGCCAAGGCCCGGAGAGTAGTGGTGGAAGCTAGGAAGTCTGTGCCAGCAAGGTGAGGGATCAGTGCTAGCAGGCTCAGGAATTTGCTCTGCAGCCAGCAGGCGATGCTCCAAGTAATGCCCAGAGCTCCCTGGAGGAGAAGCACAGCATCCTCAGCAACCGTGAGCTCCTAGCTGCTCAGGTGATGAGCAAAGCCGAGTTCCCATCAGGAAAGCCAGTGGGGAAAGCTCCTCTGGGAGGCTGGGCTGGGCATCCTCTCCCCATCTGGAGTCAGGAAGTGATGCTCAAGGTGAGGACCGGAGCTCCCAAAAAGTGAGCTGTGGCCATTCCCAGCGACAGTGAGGTCCCAAGCTCCTCCTCTGGTGAGCACAGCCAAGGTCATCAGGAAAGCCCTGAGCAGGACAAGGCCCTTCAAGGGAAGCAATAGCTTCTTACAGCTTTTGGCAGCACCCACCAGCTTCACTACCAGCCTCCCAACAGCTCCTCCCAGTTCTGCCTCCCATGCTTCTGGCCACAACCCTCAAGTGGGCCTCCCACCCCCAGCACCACACGAGTTCAGTTCAGCTGGGTGTGACAAGTTGACCACCCACTGGCAACCCTTTGCAGTAGGACTTTGTCTCTCTTTGGAGCCCAGAGATGGAGGCACTGAGCGTTGGTACCCTAGAGGGCATGGGTAGGAACACGTGAGCAGCTCTTTTATCCTGTCGGAGTCCTTGTGTGTGATGTGTACAGCCGTATGGATGGTTGATGTCCATCCTGAAAGACACAGGTCTTTCCTTCCAGAACCCCCAACATTGACCGGCTGGCTGATGCGGGAGTGAAACTCACACAGCACCTGGCAGCATCACCCCTGTGCACGCCCAGCCGGGCAGCCTTCATGACGGGCCGCTATCCCATCCGCTTAGGTGACGTACTGTGTGTGTCCCACTGTTGTCCTCCTCGGAGGCGGGGGGGGACCTCTGGCGCTGGTGTTCTGCTCATTCTTAAAGGATGACTTTTCTTGCTTCAGGAATGGCAACTCACTTCCGGGTGGGCGTTTACCTGTTCTCAGCTTCCTCGGGAGGACTTCCCACCAGCGAGGTGACGTTTGCCAAACTCCTGAGGAACCAAGGCTACTCAACAGCACTGATTGGTATGGGATGAGGAGGAGCTGGGTCTGGCTAGGGAGAGACTGGGAGAGGCCTTGGGCCAGCTCAGAGTGATGTCACAATCAACGTCCCATACCTTGAAGTGAGGACAGAGTGTTTTGGACCCTTTGGCTGTGTACATGTGTGTTCTTGTGTGTATATATACGTTTTTTTTTTTTTTTTTTTATGTGTGTGTGTGTCTAAGAGATAGAGGTGGAGAGACAGATAATAAAAATAAGAGAATAGATGAAAGGATGAGTAGCTAGATGAAGGAAAGGATTAATGAATAGGTAATAGAAGGATAAATGATATAAATTGATGTCAGGATGTAGATAGATAGATAGATAGATAGATAGATAGATAGATAGATAGATGATAGATACATAGGTAGATCATTTGGGTGGGTAGGTGGATGGGTGGCTAGATGGATGGATGAAGAAAAGATAGATAGATAGATAGATAGATAGATAGATAGATAGATAGATAGATAGACTGATAGGTAGATAGATCATTTGGGTGGGTAGGTGGATGGGTGGATAGATGAATGGATGAAGAAATGATAGATAGATAGATAGATAGATAGATAGATAGATAGATAGATAGATAGATGATAGATACATAGGTAGATCATTTGGGTGGGTAGGTGGATGGGTGGATAGATGATGGATGAAGAAATGATAGATAGATAGATAGATAGATAGATAGATAGATAGATAGATAGATACATAGATACATAGATAGACTGGTAGGTAGATAGATCATTTGGGTGGGTAGGTGGCTGGGTGGATAGATGGATGGATGAAGAAATGATAGATAGATAGATAGATAGATAGATAGATAGATAGATAGATAGACAGACAGACTGGTAGGTAGATAGATCATTTGGGCGGGTAGGTGGCTGGGTGGATAGATGATGGATGAAGAAATGATAGATAGATAGATAGATAGATAGATAGATAGATAGATAGATAGACTGGTAGGTAGATAGATAAATAATGATGAAAGGATGTACATCAAACAAATGGAGCAATGGATAGACAGATGAAAGAAATAATCACAGAAGAGATGATGGGTGGCTACACAGTAAATAAAAGTGATTCTGATGATAGGTGAGTAGGATAAGCAGATCATAGATAGATAAGTTGCATGTATATAGCTATATACATACAGAGACAAAAGGATGGATGGATGGATGGATGGATGGATGGATGGATGGATGGATGGATAGAAGGATGGATGGATGGATGGATGGATGGATGGATGGATGGATGGGTGTGTGGATGGATGGACAGGTGTGTGGATGGGTTGGTG